GTCCATTGGACTGGCGTCACGATTCAGTCTCCGTTCGTCATCGTTACAGTTTTGTTGTTTGTCTTGTTCCTTAAATGAGCCGTTGACCAGCCCTGGGACTATTAAGTTGAGCAGCTGCCCCTAGCTCTGGCTAGATAGCAAGGGCTCACTTAAGAACCCCGTGGGCCAACGGACCCCTCCGTTGTTTGTATTTACTGTAACTGAAGAAAGCAACTCTACCTATGCCTTCTAAGCGTAAGTCAAATAAATCACCTTTGTTTAAAACCATTACGCTTCTGTGCCTCAGACCTCCACGCCAATAATCCTGCCTGTTCCGTGTCCAATTGCCACCGCCCAGCCGCCCAACCGTGACACCATGAGCTTGGTTAACCAACTCCGGGACATGCAGCAGCCAGGAGTGGGGCATAGGCATGTGCTGCAGGAGAGATGTGAATGCATGGTGCAAGGGTTAGGAGGGCTTCTGTGTAGTGCAGTGGCAGGAGGCATCCACATGGAGTGGAGCACTGGAGGGGTCATGGTTTGTTCTGGTGTGGCCTGCAGGCACTCCGCTCCTGGCCACTTACGGGTTAGACAGCCCTGATTAAGTCATGTAGCTGTAAGGGGTACAGGTTATAGCCATATTGGTCTACAGGCAAAAGGAATCAGAACTCATAGTAGAGGTGCTATCTTTTATTAGACCAACTAGATAGTTGCAAAAAAAAATTCTTTATTTGCAAGCTTTCAGGTACATTCATCCTTCATTTAAATAGTAACATTTCTCCTAGGTGGAAATGAAAAATCATATTTCTCTCCTGTGAAATATAAATTTTCATTTCCACCTAGGAGAAATTTTACAATCTTTGCATTCTCCTATGCCTGAATAAGGGTGAGTATGCCCAAAAGCTTGCAAATAAAGATTTTTTTTTGGCAAATAACTAGTTGGTCTAATAAAGGATATCACCTTTATCACGAGCTGTGATTCCATGTAGCTATAAGGACTTCCATCCTGCAGGAGCCCCACTCACTCTCTCCATCAAAATGGAGTCCTCTCTACAGGGAAATGCCACAACCATAATGTACCAGTAACAGAAATGATGCTGAGAATGGTGATGATAATGATGAATTTATTTTTTTTCCTTTTCATTTTCAAAACCTTTTAGTTATATGAATTAAGAAATATCAACATCATACGTTTAAATTGAATAATTTATAGAAAAAAAACCCCACAAGCCAGCAGATTTTTTTTTCTATTGGAAAATTTTAAATCAAAATTAGAAGTTTTTGCTAATATATATTCTAATTCAAACAAACATTAAAATAAGAAGTTCTCTAACCTGCATTATACAAGAAACTAGATGAGATGGTTCATTTTAAGTTTGTGGACTTTCTGATAGAATGGTTTCAGACTGTATGTCATGCTTGTTCTTAATCCTCTCAAAAGATTTTTTTCCTGCTCCTCCAGAGATGCTCACAAGAGTTTAAAATTTTTAAGTAAGGAAGCCATATAGGGTTAGCCTACCCTGTATACCTTTGCCATGTATGCTCATTATTTCTTCAGTTTTGGTTACTGTTTTTTTTTTTGTCCTGCAGTTAGTGTATTGACTGCTTGGCCTATGGAACAGTGTATACATGAATTCCTTCAGCAGTCCATATGGGATACTGTCCTCAGCAGTTATATGAGACAGGTGGTCTAACTGCTAGTCAACAGTGAAACGCTTGGTACAGAAACTCTGTCAAATGCGTAATAGAAAAGAGCAAGACAATACCAAACATATCTCTGATATTATTCAGTTGGAGAAGCCTTTGAACCTGCAACAAAAAAAGGTATGAAGCTTTCAGATGGAAATGGACTTCATTAGGTTGTGGTATCCCTGTAACTTAATACTTATACCTTTAAAGCATGTTTAGAAGTTAAAATGAAAGAGTAGAATGTCTCATAACACGCTTCAAGGTGGATTTTATTTTTGCCTATTTGTTGATTTTTCAGTGATTGGGAATGGTTAAAGAGTTGGTTGTATAAGTATTCTGGGAGAAAACAATCATGGGAGCTTCCTAATACTCTGAGGTATTTGTTCATCTCCAACTGAAAATGAAGGACAATTACTAACACTATTTCCTACAGTATCTGAAGATCTATGATCTATACACAGCACACGTTCAATCTCAGTTTATTGCAACCGGTATGATTTCTAAGGCTCATATGTGTATTTAAATGTGTCAGAGCCTGTTTACAGGTTGCAAAGGTACTTTCTTTTGTCTCTGACCATTTCAGGAAAGCATCTTTATTCAGAACAGCACTAAAACAGGCTTAACTTTTAGCATATGCTTAAGTCTTGATAGAGTCACTTAAACAAGGCTTTAAAATTAAGCAAATGCTTTAGTGCTTTTCTGAATTCAGTACTTTTTCATTGGCATAATGTTTTATTA